TTCCTGTTTTGTTGCATTACAGCCTTTCACTCTGTTGCATATGGCTCCATTTACTCAAACAAGTTACTGCCTACCATAAATCCAAAGACAAACAGTGCACCATGGAGACCTAAATGATCCCAACACAGAAGCCTCAACATAAAAGCACAGCTCTGGTGAACATAATCCAGCTTTGATGCAACCAGTATTTCTCACGAGCACCCAGGGGCATTTAAACCTGAGATTTTTGACGGATAATTACCTTCAAAACCATTAATTGCCCTAACAGCTACCCATTAATCGCAACGTGGACAATGCAAGAGCAAGCAAATAAGCTTCCTCACATGTGCACAGTAGAGATACCTTTGGTCTGAAATGATTAATCAAGATTGCATCAAGGTGAAAGTCTCCTGGCTGCAAAATGGAGCCGCTTTTCCGCCACGTTACAGCGAGAATCAAATGGCCTGTGAAGACAAGACAACCTGTCAAAACTAAAAATAACTCGGAGGACCGTCTTTTATCCAACTCTCACGGAGGCTGCTGTATTTATACTCCACTCTGATGCTACTGTACACTCCTCAAGCTACCTAAAACAGGAAATAAAGCACAGACATAAAGGCGCAAACAAGCTCCTCGTGGTTAAAATCACCTTTTGAGACACTGCTAAATATATTCTGGGGGGTGGTCATGCTTTAAAAGAAGCGTCATCTGTGGTAAAGGTAGGCCCCCCCACACACACACATACACAGACACAGTCATCATCATCTGACTTGTGTTAGGCAATTCTGGAGAAAGAGATGAGTTTTAGCAGGAATGTTGTGGACAAGATGAAACAGAAGCAACCGGGATTTAAAAGGTGAATTGACCTAATTTTCTCCGGAGCCAGTGGATTGGGTTGGATTAGACTGACCCACCTTATTACATGTGTAAGCTCTGCGCAGTGTGTCTGGCAACGCTGTGTGTATCAGGATGTTGGATCAAACACTGATCTCCAGCCTGGCAGGTTTTCGAAAGAGAGAGATAAAAAAAAAAAAACAGAAGGGAGAATGAGAGGGATAGAGAGAGGAGAGGAAAGAAAACAGATGTAATTTCCTCCTTTTATCTGCCTCTAACAGACCTCCACAGTTTGTACTGAGACATAAAGACCTTTAAAATGTAAAGACCTCACAATGATAGGAAGCTGGTAAATGAACAGGAAGGTGTGGCACTGAGTGTGAGTTGCTGTGCCAAAGCAGGCTGCAGTCACAACATGTTACCAAGTGCAAGCAGCCAGATTTAAGAGAACACTCAGTGCTGTGAGAGCTGACAGAAAATATGGTCACCATGAAGCTCTATGAGAAACACATTCATTCATTCATGTGTGTTACAGAGAGGGTGAGTTACAAAACATACACTGTGTCACCAGAAAGCACCAGCACATCATTAGGCAACAAAACCCTTTTAAACTTTTAAACTCACAGAATAACTTACAACATGACAGAAGAGTCTCTGAATGAAGCCAAAGCACCGACACACAGACTCTGTCCTCAACTCAAACAGGAGCTGAGTCGAATTATAAAATGTCTCCTGAAGTAACGTTACCGGCTCTGAAGTCCTGCTGTCACCGCCGAGTCTCCGTGAAACTGTATCCTGGCTCTCGTTTCCATGTTTGTGCGCTTCGTCTTTGTTTGCAGGTACAGAGTGCGCGCTCGTTGACTCACCTGCGTCTCGCGCCCCCACTGCACGAGTACAGCCTCTTCCGGGACTTTCTGGTAAAGACACAGCGCGAGCACCGGCGGCACGTGACGCCAGGGTGGGTCGGTGTTTATGGCTGTCATGAGGGCATCACGTATGATCACTGATAACCCTATCTCTGCTTCAACTATTGTAGTAACAACAACAATAATAATGGCAATCTGTACTTGTAACAATAATAATAACAATAACAATAATAATAATAGTAAAACATAAAAGTTTACAAAAAAAAGGAAAAAAGGAAATAAATAAAAAATAAGAAATAAGTGAATAAATAAATAAATGGTTGCCCAGGCAGAATGTTTACAATAATAATAATAATAATAATAATAATAATAATAATAATAATAATGATAATGATAATACTAATACTACCACTACTAATAAAAGTTTATAAAAAATAAAAATGAAAAAAGGAAATAAATAAAAATAATAGTAATAACAATTATTATTATTTTATTATTTATCTCTTTTTCACACAAATGATGGAAAGTAATTGAGTACACTTACTCAAGTACTGAACTTGACAACACCCTTTTGTTTTGTTATATATACAAACAAATAAAGAAATAAAAATAATAAATAAATATGATTACAACAACAACAACAACAATAACAAACAATTCTTCTTATTATTATTTATATTTTCACATTATTTTCTTATCTATCTCTTTTTTACACTGATGATGGAAAGTAATTTAGTACATTTACTCAAGTGCTGAACTTGACAACACTCTTGTCAAAGAATAAAAAATAATAAATAAAAATAATAAATAAATGAATAAATACATAAATATGATTACAACAAAACAACAACAATAACAATAATAACAATAATAAATAATTCTTCTTATCATTATTTATATCTTCATATTATTTTATTATTTATCTCTTTTTTTACACAAATGATGGAAAGTAATTTAGTACATTTATTCAAGGTACTGAACTTGACAGCACCCTTGTGTTTTGTTGACAATGACATGATGTTACTTTGTCATTTTTTAGGGTCCACACAGACCTCACTGCTGTATGTGTAAAGGATAACAATTCTATTTTATTTTTTTTTAAAAGGGATGAATAAATAAATAAATAAATAAATAAATAAATAGTACTTTACTTGACAACATCCTTGTGTTTTGAAGACACTGGAAATAATAGATAATAGTAATGGTAATAATAGAAAATTATTATTCTTTAATCAGAAAAAGAGCATATGAAAACCCTAATTGTATTTATCCATGTTTTATAGCTGGGTCACTAAAAGCCAGATCAAAACTAATGCAGAATTTTCTGTATCTGACTTTTGAAACATCTCACCCGTTCAAATCATGTTTATTAGCAGCGGTATGAGATTTTCACGGTACAATAACTGTGTCAGAAAATATCACTGTTTCACAGTATTACAGAATGAATGTTATTATCCATCAGAATGACCCCTAACAGAATGAAAATGGAAGGGTTATTGTTGGATGAACAAACGTTTTATTACTATAATTGAAACTTGAAATAATTTTGTTAATGGAAGTATGTGTAAAAAGTCTAACCTTTTGAAAAGCAAATGTACACAGTATGATGACCGTCAACTTTTTTATCACGGTTTATCTTGTATATTGATGCAACCCTACCTAGCAATGCTCAAAAAATTAGAAAAAGAAGGTGATAAAAAACTGTGCTGGTTTTTTTTCCCCCCTTGTGAGCTGTTAAAAGAAAACCCCAACAAAATAGTGTCAAACAGTTTTGAGATTTTGTACTTTCACTGGGTATTTCCATCTTATGCCTCCCCCACATTCCAGGTGCAAACATTTCACTTTTAACTGCACTTCATTTATGTGACAGTCATACTGCAGACTGGTTACCCTAGAGATTGAGACTTTGCATACACATATTAAACTACCCAAAAGTATATAAAAATAGTTCAAATTAGCTCAAGCTCAAACAGTTACAATATCAAAATGCTGTTTACATGTTAATGGTGAACGCTAACAGAGGCCTGCACAATGAGCACTGTTACCTTACCTTTGATATTTTAAGGACATTTTGCTGACAAATCTTTTGTGCTTTGTTAGATTTTTAATGTTAATATATTGAAATACATCTTTGAACCTTGCATTACACATTATATCGTGCTTAATAATCTGCAAACATAGTAGAATGTCTCTTAATACTAAAGGCCACAGTTGATAAACAAAAACATATTCATAAAGTTGATAATATTTCTTTATAGATTTAATCTGGTTGTCCTGCTGTCACTAAATACATTAGTGACTTTCTGCTCAGTGGTATTTTCTACATCTTTTATAACACTATAATCAACCCAGTCGGCAGAAAAAATGTTGGCATTGTACGTTTCTGCAAACCACAGAGACTTTGCATTTGTACTTGTTTAGGGTGACTGTGGCTCAGAGGTAAAAGGGATCCTCCACCAATCGGGAGATCAGCGGTTCAATCCCCGGCTCCTCAAGCCTGCATGTCAAAGTATCCTTGGGCAAGACACTGAAACCGAAATTGCACCTGATGGCTGTTACATCAGTGTGTGAGTGTGTGTGAATGGTTACTGAGCAGCGGGTGGCACCAGGAGTAGACCCGGACACCTGTGTGTGAATGGGTGAATGTGACGTAGTGTAAAAGCACCTTGAGTGGTTGGAAGACTAGTAAAATGCTATACAAGTATATGTAGCATATACATTGAAAATGTATGTGTTAGTATGCTTCGGTTAATGTGTGGTTAGATTTAAATGCAAAAACCACTTGGTTATGGTGAGGAAAAGATCATGTTCTGGCCTAAAATACCCGCTTTTAGGGGCACTATCCCTGCTGGGAAACCTAAGATGTCTTGGTCAAAAACAACTGCTTTTCATGCCACTATGCCCGATGGACAAACAGTGATAGTTTACCATAAAACACCCATGTCTGTTGCCTAAAACACAGCAATGACTTGTTATATCACAGCCAGGTTTGTTGTTTGTTGGTCTTGAACAGTGGTCTGCAGCTTGGCAGCTCGCTTGGAGGTCACACCATCCACCATTCCCTCCACCTCCCAATTGCAAAGTCAGCTCATGTACATGTCACTTTATAAACACTGATATGATAGATATAAAATGTGCATATATTACTTCCTCATGGTTTGCAGAAACACCTTCACTGAACTGACAAAAAAGAAGCAGATCTATTATCGGTTATGACCTTTGATCACAGACTTATTGACTCACTTCAAACACAAACTCTATGAGTTATTTGTGATTAAAGACACAGAACGTTATTCAGTTGATAAACACGATAGGATACGGTTGGCAATATACAAATTTTATTCAAACGTACTTTCAAATTTGAACAATATTCAGTAGGATTTAACAAAGAGCTATTTATCTGAAAATTCCCATTGGATACAGTAGAAAAGAGTATATATAGGAATATCACAGATTTTAAAAAATATCTGCATAGCCAGAAAGAGGACCCACAGAACCCCACAGAAAATGTCCTTGGCTTGTAAGCAAGGCTGCATACAAACAATATGATCTTTTTTTTCATGCACTTTTGCTCATCAGCATTCAGTGAGACAGGTCGAGAAAAGGAAGTGGACACCCAACCTGACTATACCCATGCAGCTCAATGCATTCATTGTGGCATAACCCATGTCCACAGGACACAGTAGACGCTACATCAAACTCCTCCCATTCGTGGCAGTCACATCATCTTCTTCATGGAGTTATTAAACCATAAGGAGCTTTATGAAAAACAAGCTGGAGATCAAACCGTCGAGCGATCGTGGAAGCACAGAGGATGGCAGCACACAAACAATGTACCCAGAAAAACAAACAATAGTGACATTTGATTACCTGCTCATTAACCAGCCTCTGAAGCAGCACCAAAATGATTCGAAGATTATCACGATGTAAACATTTGTGGTTTTGATTGTATTATGGGAAGGAGTAACGCTGGTAGAGGATCAGTATCTGGCAGGACAGAGGTGTGGGGAGTCAGGGGACATGGAGCTGATCTCACCAGTTCTGTCAAACTGAAAATGTACAACCAAGATACGTTTCACAGAAATACGTGCACAAAAAATAAAGACATACTTGTAATGTAAAAGTGTTTCTATAATATATACTTATATTGTTATTGTCAGATGTTATTTAACCCATAAAAGTACCATAAACATTAAAGTTTGAACGATGACGCCAAAGCAAAATAAACAATTGGGTTATTTTTAAAAGGAATAAATTATAAAGATGATATATACAAAAATATTAGCATAAAGGATATTTACAGTTAAGTTTCAAGATGCTAATTTATTTGCTATACATGCTGTTTATATGGGAAGGCGCACTGGTTGGCAGACTCAGCACAGGATCACTCTGATGCTCATTTATCACAGAAACATAACCTCCAGTGTACGATCGTGCACAAAGATGCACCATTTGATTCAACATAGAAATCTTCATATTCAAGCGAGGGTAGGCAACTTGTTTTAAAAAGCTTTTTTTGTTATATTTGTTGAAAATTCTCTTCACATCCTGACTGCAATCAATAAATGAAAAACTCAGGAAAAAGACTTGTAATAAGCCCGTCCAGTCATTTCATTCAGACCAAATGAAATGACTGGACAGTTTACCCGTCTGCAATTGAAAGGCATTCCTATTGGCTGTTCTACAAATGCAGATGCATGTGCATGTCTCCTTAGGGACAGCCTGATTCAATTGTGGAGTATTCTGCTGAGGAAGTTGCTATTCCAGCATTGGCAACAACTGCCTACACTGCAAAGCAACCCAAAAACAGAAAGGCAAAATTTCAAAAGGAGTCTACAAGACAGTTGACACAAAATTAAACAAAATATGTGTTAGTATCGGCATAGTCTGACTCATCCAATGTAGACTGTGGCCATAAACCTGCCGTGGGCCGACTATTTTGGCCGGCATTCTCCCTTCTGCTCTCTGCCTGTTACCGTTTTCAAAATCCCCTTTGCTACGGGAAACAACAACCTCGATGCGATCAACCCACACACTGAAATTGGCAAGTTATAATGGAGATTTGGATCATGCAATAAGTCTTGCCTGCTTTGTTCTTTTGGTGAATTGATGTAAAGGCCTACAACTAATAAAACAACTTGCAAATGCCCCTCTGTAAAGCCCAGACTCTGTCTCACAGGACCCTCTTGCCCGATGTTGCTCCGTTTTCTGACATGGCCGATCAGACTTGATTTGCACATCCTCTCAAACTCTCAAACAGTCAAATGATACCTGAATGCCTTTTGAGCCAGGGTTCTGATCTCAGACCATCCAGAGCTAAAGGCTCACAGCCGTGGCTTCATGTCTATGTAGCTAACGTAAGCCAGAGCCTTGAATCATGGTGTGTCCTCCGCCTCACTCCCCGCCACTACAGACCACCTCACCAGGAGGAAAGCTGGCAGCAGCTCTGGAGACTGTCCCCAGTCAGCTGCTGCAGCAACACAAATCCAGCCAGCACAAACACCCCAGGTCCGTAGGGGACCGAACAGCCCGATTCCTCGCCAGATTGGCTGACAAGTTAGACCCTGCTGCTGGCCACCAGGCCTCCATGACATCTGGCACTGGGGAGTTTGTGCTGGCCATGTTCGAGCAGCTACTGCTGACAACCGAGGATTCATCTCCTGAGCTGCTGCCTGTTTTCCTCCCGGGGATACAGTCCACAGTGGCGGGCAGCAAGGCGGAGGGACGGTGGGTGGCTAATGTCTTGTCTCATTTGTGGTCTGATAAACACAGAGAGAGCAGCGCAGGGAGGTGCTGAGTAAATACACAATATTCAGTATTGGAAACACTGGGTTACTGTTTAAAGTGCGTGCATATGCCCGTGGTCATCTGGAGGGGCTTAGGATAGAGATGGGAGAGCTGCAAGAGGAGGGTGTATTTTAATTTTTTTTTTTTTTTTTTTTTGCCTTTTCCAGATTTCTGCCTACCCTAGCTTTAATGAAGGTCAGAACTGAGAGGAAACATGAAAGAAGATTCACCTGATTTTAATTTGAACGCTTGAAAACAAATCAGCACCTTGAAACCAATGCTGGTGGGCCGGCTGGTACTGTACACAGGCGCAGGATCTCAAAACAGTGGATTATTCCAGAAAAGTAGAGTAGTAAAATACACTTTTACACAGTAGAAGAGAGTACAAAAGAGAATTTCATTGGCACAAAAATCCTTGCAGCAGAAATCTAGTCTTCTCCATCCTGAGATGACTGTTAGTGATCAGTAGCCATTTTGTTTTTGTAAGAAAAGTCACAATTTGAAAATAGAGAGGCAGACGCTGCCTCATCTCTTCTTTGAGTTGAGCTGTATGTTGGTCACAGCGATAAACCAATTCGGCGAGTGAGACTGCACACTCTTATGAGAATCAAGGGTGTTAGTCTCCTACTAAATCTCACAGCAGTTGGGAAACTAGCCGAAATGTTGCACAGGGGAAGCATTGCTCTAAAATAAAATCGTTCACCTGAATATATTCCAGTTGATCCAGGTCTATTAAGAAAATAAAACCCACAATATTCTGTCAAAATTATTGTACGTTCCCAAACAGTTGCTTCTCAAGTGGCAAAATGGAAGACAGACTGTTTCAAATGGAGTCCCAAAGGAAACGCAGTAAAAAATAGACATCCTGAAGTGATGCTTTCAGCAGGACAACACTTGTATCCAACATTCATCCTCCCATGTTTGACCAGTATGCAGTCTTTTATGCCACAGTCAGTTGCAGTGTTGAAGCTGGCAACAAGATCAGCCAGGTGAGTTAACACAGGAAGAGTGCATGGGGAATGTATATTATTCGGGCTGTTCAAACACAAAGAAGGTAGAAAGACCCGCTTGGGTGTGTCGGGTGTTGATTGACTGACAAACAAAAATAACACAGTACCGTATGATCAACTCAAAATAATACCACAGTTTAATCTTTTAATTAAAAACAGCCCCTCAGAGCTGAGAGCGTGACAATGACTTTGGAAAGAGGCAGGAACTGAATGTTGCTGATTGGTTTGATGTCCCACTGATACTCCTCCATGTCAGAGAGTTACTGATTGTACCCAGAATGCAGTTGGCTTTCTGCCCCGTTACACTGTACATACATACCCTCACACATACTTGTCCATGCACTCTGAAGTAGATGCACATGCTCTGTTTTGCACATGCATGACGCATGCACGTTCAGCCCAGTTACAGGTTCTCTCCTGGCTGGTACTGAGGCTCCGTGGAGGTGAAGTAATCCTCCAGGAAGCCCTGCAGGTACTCAAAGGTGGGCCTCTCCTCGGGCTCTTTTCTCCAGCAGGTCAGCATGAGCTCATGCAGGGATTCGGGGCACTCTGCTGGGCACGGCATTCTGTAGCCACGCTCCACCTGGTCTAACACCTCCCGGTTCACCATACCTGGGTGAGCAAAGGCATGTTAGCAACACATAAATTAACACAACTGGAATCATATGATTGCTCATGACCAACAGACTCCCAGTCAGAAATCTTTTTGATGATGGATTGGTGGAGCGTGACATCAGTAACTGAGTCTAGGTGACTAAAGAAAATGATCCTTGCCTGGATAGGGTACTCGGCCTTTAGTGGCCAGTTCAGTCAGCAGGACCCCGAATGACCAGACATCAGATTTAATGGTGAAGCGGCCGTACAGAGCAGCCTCAGGAGCCGTCCATTTGATGGGAAACTTGGCTCCTGTAAGAGGACAGGTTTATCAGCAGTGATAAAATGTGATCAGTGTTGCACAGACTGAAACAAAAGCAGTAGCTCCCCACTATCACAGAACAATGTATGAAACTCTTTATTTTCCCTCTCCCTCAATTGAAGACAGCAATGTTGCAAGTGATGACAAGCTAAGAATATGAGGAACCACTGTGCTACATAAAGACACAGTCTACAAAAAAAAAAAAGTAATCAAACCCTAAAATCTAACAGCATCCTCTTGTGGTCTTACCTTGCCTGGCAGTATACTCATTATCTTCAATGAGGCGAGCCAGACCAAAATCAGCCACTTTACAAACCAGGTTATCTCCCACCAGGATGTTCGCAGCTCTCAGGTCTCTGTGCACATAGTTCATCCTCTCCACATAAGCCATCCCTGAAGCAATCTGAGAGAAACAGACAAAGCTTTGTGATGATCTACACAGAAGGAAAACACTCAAGATTTTAATATGGGATGATTTACTTGATGCAGCAGTAAATTATTAGTTCTGACCTGTGAGGCCATGTCCACCAGCTGGGGGAGGCGGAGAATCTTACCCATGTCACCTTTCAGGAAATCCAGTAAGCTACCTGTTGGCGCGACACATACCGCAGGTTAGAATGACACTGTTAGAGTAGTATCTTCTATTCATCAGTTTTTGTACATACATGATGAAGTTAATTTATTAAAATTAAGTTTTGTTATGAGAAAATATAGCATTTACAAAATACATTTGTTTTTACAGGCAGTATATGCACCATAGCTTGATTTGGTTTTGATTGTCACCTGTGATAAACAAATCCTTAGTTATGTAGGTTTTCAGTATTTCACCTGTAAGACTCCATTCAGTAGGGACATTTACTAAAAAACTGTCTCTAATTGATGATTAACATTATTTGTTTCCGCAATTTTATTGTAAAAATTGTTTAGTTCAGTCAGAAAAACTTTAGGCAAAGAAAACTGTATATCCATTTGCAATAATGTATTTGTTCTGGGGCCTCTCTGCCCTTGCTAGGCCCACGCAGAAAGTCTACGGTGGAGAGAGCAAACCTCCCTGCCCTTCCATGTGCCTACAGGGAAAGCGTAAGGTGGAGAGAGAACACCTCTCTGCCCTTCCACATGCCTGCGCAGACCTAAGGCGGAGAAAGCACACCTTTGACCTTTTCGTGCACACATGGAAAGCCTAAGGTGGAGAACACACCCCTCTGCCCTTCCACGTGCAAACAAGGAAAGCCTGAGGCAGAGAGAGCAAACCTCCCTGCCCTTCCATGCGCCTACATGGAAAGCCTAAGGCAGCAAAGACTACCCGGGAACAGAACAGAGCATCAGTGACCAACAGAAATGACATTGATGAATCAGACACAGCATAAAAAGGAGGAGCTGGGGTGGAGGCAGGTTGCAAAACAGTTTGCAGAGGAAGCAGCAACAGTAGGCAGGCCAGAGCAGTTTAAATAGGGCGCCCTGAATGCTGCTCCATCGGTTGATTGAGCTGTTTGAGATCAGCTGATGTAGCTGGGATGAGAGCTGAGCTTGACATTGTGTCCTGCCTGAACAAGCACTATGCTCAATATCTGAAAATGTGATGAGTCCACGCTGACCTTGTCCCATGTATTCTGTGACGATGTAGATCGGCTCCTCGGACACCACGGCGTAGAGCTGAACCAGCTTTTCATGTCTCAGTTTCTTCATGACCTGAGCTTCCTGGAGGAAGGCCTCAGGGGACATAGTGCCGGGCTTCAGAGTCTTTATAGCCACCCGTGTTGTACCGTTCCATGTTCCTGTTAAAAGATTTTTTTTTTAAAAGAGCAATAACAGACATATCAGTATTGATTGTTAGAACTCAATTATCAGCTTCCACCTTAGGGTCATGTAAAACCTAATCAACAACAGTGGACAGGACAGAATAATGCCTGCTCCAGTTATTTCCAACCAGTGGTACCTGTACTTCATGGGGTACTTCTACAGATGTCAGGGTGTAAGAGGAAAGACTGTGAGTGGCTATAACACCTGAACAATATGTGTTGCAATTAAGAGTATCTGAAAGCTATTACAGAGCTGTAGCAGTTAGCTAACAGCAATGACTACATGGCTGAAATAGCTAAAAGTGATGGATGAATGGTTAAAACATCTAATTTCTCCCATTCACAGTACGAGATGTGTGAATGCAAACAATCTAAACAGTGACAGTTCACTTCCATGTCAGTAATAGTTCAGAAATATCCATTTTAAAATAATCTAATTAACATTTGGAACACGACGGGTGGTGCTGATGAGGGGATAAACTGACATCCTATGCAATGCCTTCTCTTAAACCTGCTTACAGTACTATTTACCAGTCAAACCCCATATCAGAGCAGACAGCCACCAGCTGTAAACCTGCTGAGGTAAAATTTCTATTGATGCTTCTTCACTTTGATCATTTGTCAAACTGACCAGGACCATGAAATACAGTATTTCCCACTGAGCAGGGGAATGTCCGTTATCAGCTACAGCAACAACAAAAGCATTGAAGGGATAGTCTGGATTTTTTGAAGTGGGGTTGTATGAGGAACCTATCCATAGTAGTGTATTAAATACAGCCACGGGAGCTAAGCAAGGTACTGCTGTGCATGGGGGCAGCAGACAAACATATTTAGCCCAGTTCAGACCAAAGATTCGTGACATAATAAAACCGTTATAGACTGAGAAAAGTTGCAGCGGTGTGAACTGGCCGGTCTGAGCTCGACTCAATCCGGCTGATGGTGTCACCTGCAACTCAGCTGGTCAGATCGCTGGCAGCTGGTTTTAGAACACAAAGCATGTCACCAGTTTCTACAGCCAATCGGCTAGTAGTGAAGTCTGCTGGTCAAGTCAAAACGACCATAGACGGCGTGTTGGCTTGCTGCGGCTGGTGCTCTGTCCCCGCCAAGCCTTCCGTTTCCATCACGGTGTGCCGGTGTCGAACTGATGCCCGTTTGTGTCTGTTTTTCGCCATTTCATCACTGCTACAAATGCAGCTGTAGCCAGTATCTCACTATCACTATCATTATTCATATTTTATGAGGCTAAAAATATATGGCTATATTCAGCCATAAAATAAGTCTGTAAAGCTGCAAATCAGAAGTTCAGACAGTTGTTGCATAGAGATGATACACCATCTCATCTAATTGCATTGGTGTGAACTGGCTGGTTTTTAGAATGCATTGCAAGTAGTTGCCTGTTTCAGCTTGTCTCGTCGTGAATCTTTGGCCTGAACTGGGCTTTTTAGCCACCTAGAAAAAAATCAATAATAGTTTAAGTGTATCAGACAGCCCGTTCCAGGGATGCCGACACCTTCAGGAGCCTACCACATCCATGCTGTTGTCATAGGCACCAGACTCCATTGACAAAAACAGTAATTTTAGCTCGCTGCACACAGGAGCTGCTGGTCTACATTGCCTGGTTAGTTTGTTTTGTTTTGTTTTAGTTTGCCAAAGTAACTAACTGATCGAGGCAGCAGTAGTCCAACAGCTCCTGCGTTCAGCGATGTAAAATCACAGTTTTTCTCAATGGAGTCTGGCTTTGAACAGACTGAGTTAACAGTTTCAGTTATCTGTTGGAAATCACTGCATAACAGCAAGGTGTATTGGTGAAAAAATACAAAATATAACACACACTTAAACTTGATGTTTTACATTTTTTTTGGTGGCGAAAATATGTTTTGTTGTTTAGGTAATACACTGACTATGGATGAGGCTCTTGTACAACCCCACTTCAAAATATCCAAACTTTCCATTTAAATAGAAAAGAAGAAGATCTGATGCACTTTTTGGGGGTAAAGATTTAGAAAGAGTATGAAAGAACAGAACTTCTATGTTCGCTTTGGTCTTCACAAGGTTTGTTAATATTTGACTGGAAGTGTGTCTTGAAACTTCCTCTTTCAGTGGGCAATAAAAGGAAATGTCTCCACAGGAAGACAAATATCAGCAGAAGCACTTTCTCCTCTTATTATTTTGGGGTTTTGGAGATATGCAGGGTTTGTTCAGAAAATAGATCAAAGCGTGGCTTACCCATCCACACCTCTCCAAAGCAGCCCTGCCCGAGCTTGAGGTCAAGACGGAGAGACTCTCTTGGGATCTCCCAGGCGTCCTTGGATAAGCCCTGAGTCTGAGGCTTCAGCACAGGACAGATGTCTGTTAGACTGTGACACAGTCCATCAGCATGCTCTGGGGGACACAAAGAAGACATAGTTAAAAAAAATTCATCTTCAAAATCACAGAATAATCATCTGAGGGTGCAAGAGGGAGAGACTTTCTTAATCAGATTTATATATTTTATTTAAGGTTCGTACACCAGAAGATGCCCAGCACACATGGGAAATTATACCATGGTACAAACCATACACTTATTGGCCACTTTATTAGATACACCTGTTCAACTACTTGTTAACACAAATAGCTAATCAGCCAATCATGTGGCAGCAACTCAATATGTTTAGGCATGTAGACATGGTGAAGAAGACCTGCTGAAGTTCAAACTGAGCATCAGAGCGAGGAAGAAAGGTGATTTAAGTGACTTTGAACGTGGCATGGTTGTTGGTGCCAGACGGGCTGGTCTGGGTATTTACTGGGATTTTCACACACAACCATCTCTAGGGTTTACAGAGGATGGTCCCAAAAAGAGAAAATATCCAGTCAGCCAAAATGCCTTGTTGATGCCAGAGGTCAGAGGAGAATGGCCAGACTGGTTCAAGATGATAGAAAGGCAACAGGAAGTCAAATAACCACTGGTTCCAACCAAGGTCTGCAGAAGACCATCTCTGAACCAACAACACATCCAACCTTGAAGCAGATGGGCTACAGCAGCAGAAGACCACACCAGGTGCCACTCCTGTCAGCTAACAACAGGAAACTGAGGCTACAATTCACACAGGCTCACCAAAACTGGACAATAGAAGATTGGAAAAACGTTGCCTGGTCTGGGAAGTCTGGATTTCTGCTGCCACATTCAGATGGTAGGGTCAGAATTTGGTGTAAACAACATGAAAGCATGGATCCATCCTGCCTTGTATGTAATAGTTCAGGCTGCTAGTGGTGGTGTAATGGTGTGGTGGAATGGGAGATTCTCATCATGGATGTGCAGCCGACAAATCTGCAGTGACTGTATAATGCTATCATGTCAATATGGACCAAAATCTCTGAAGAATGTTTCCAGCAGCTTGTTGAGTCTGAAGGCAAAAGGGGTCCAACCCGTACTAGCAAGGCGTACCTAATAAAGTGGCCAGTGAGTGTATATTTAAAATGTCAAACATAAAGTGCCCTCATACGCAGAGGGTAAGCATTTGACACAAACTGAACAAAGTGAAACAGAATCTCAAGTCTACATTCATCAGACGAGGAAAACAAATCTGGACATTCAGGAAAAGCTTATATCTGAGACTGTAATAAAATGAACAGTAGAACAAAAAGTGTATTTCATTCTCAGACTCTCCCAGGTGAGGTCACACAGGATTACACTGTCTCAATCAACAAATATGAACTCACTGCGATAGTGGCTGACAAGCTGCTGCAGGTTACTGAACTGCGTGCGTGATGTGATGTAGAAGCCTCCACTGTCCAGCTTCCTGATCTTGTAGTGCTTCACATTCAGCCCTTTGGTGTTGTCATAGTCCAATACAGACAGACAGTAGGCACCTAAGGAGGAATATGATAATGCATGATGAGAGGAAATATACTCCAAGAATATATGACTCTTATAATGTGGACAAAACATTATTTAGTGTGCATGGATATAAAAGGAGGAATTACTGGTGACTATGTGCTCATTATACCACCAGAGGGCAGCGTCAGTCAGGTGAAAAAAAAGTGTGAATCACAGCGGCTCAAGGCGATGCCTCCCCCTTCTGTGAATGTTTGAACTGGGTGAGATGGCCCGTGGTTATACAGTCCTCAGCTTCAGCTCCACACTGACCTAATTCTGTCGGGCTCACCCACCCAGTACCTCCCCACTCACTCCTGCTCACTCACTTCCCCTCCATCCTTCCCCATCTTGACCCCTTTCTCATTCTACACAGAGCTTACATACAGAGCCAATAATGGGAAACTACAGGAATCCTGCAATGTACACATGAACACAAATCACACACACATTCACACAGAGCGAGCTGAACCCATGGGGACTGAGCTGCTGCAGCAGTCGCAGCAGAGCCGCAGAGCAGCTGCCTATCAGAACTATCTCCAGACTGAGTCCCACAGGCGGCACATCCAACCTTTTCCCATCTGCCTGATTCGTCTCTCCTCTGTACCCACACCACCACACGACTGACACACAGCAGGGCGCACAGCAAACAGCAGGATGTCACGTCTCAATGCTAGACAGAATTTACTTTCTTTTTTTTGGCGCTTCTTGGTAAGACGTGTCATGAAATGTTCTGATCTCTACATGAAGCTCATAAGTTCATTAAAGAAAGGAAGTGAAGAGGCCGACATAAACCTTACTACATTTGAAATAACACCAGTAATCAATGGTATGTGCTGCAGCAAGTGTGATTCTCATAAATTTCCAGGACAAAATGTTCTCTGGGTGGGACTGTACACCAGAGACTGAATAATTAGGTCTACTCCCAGGTCCTGAGAGCTCTCACCTTTACAAACCTACTTTCCCATACTCTGTGTTAAACCTTCAGGCTGTTGGCTCTCAGCTTGTGGTGCTCCAAGTGCCCAAAAAATATGTCTCTTTCTAGAAATCACGACCTGGTTACTCAAGATAATCCACAGATCTTTTTGTTGGCAGGTCCATGTCGGAGTTATTGTCTTTCTACCGAATTACAACTGTCAACTGTATCACCATGCCGAATAACTGTGTACCTTTTCATGGATGGGAGAAGGGGCCTCCCTAGGGTAGTGGTTAGAGCGCTCGTCTTCCATGCCGGGTTCGTATCCTGCTGGGGTCAACGTCAGCAAAGGCAGGTGGTCGCAAGAGGTTCCCACCGACAAATAAAATGGGATCAGATTCCTTAAGGGGGATTCAGGATAAGAGAGTAACTCCGGAATCTGAGCCAAGTCCTCAACGCGGACGCATCTCAAGCCCGTTGTAGACGGGAGGTTCTAGGCGTAACAGCGGATTCATTCTACTCGTAGATGAGACTCGGGCTTGTGACAATGCAGGATATAAACATTAATGGCGCTGCTAGTTAGCTGAGTCGTGCTAGGTGAGCTAGCAGTAGATGCACGCTTCCTTCAGCGCAGTAATAGAATTGGCAGATGTAGTTGGGTAGAAAGAAAATAGTTCCTACATGAAACTGCTCACAACAAGGTCTGTGGATTATCTTGAGTATCTGGGTCATGATTTCTGGAAAGAGACATTGCTGTTGAGTTTTTGAAATCTATGTTTTGGGCACTTTGAGCACCACAAGCTGAGTGCCATTGAGTTCCATTATATTGGAGAGAAGGCAGACATCTCTACAGCTGATATCTCCAACAATCTGCAACTGACACCTAAACAATCTGGATGGTAAAACAGCACAACAGGTAAAAGGGAAAAATGTGTTTTTGATTTTGGGGTGAACTGTCCCTTTAATAGGGCGGCATTTCATTTGATTATTGTTTTTTTTTTTGCTACAGTTTTTCAGTGCAATATCAAAATTATACTTTTGAAAAAATCTGAATTATCCATCACGAGGCAATGAAAATTTGACACGTTGTTCTGGAAACCCCTTTTTTAAAGTTTTAAAGCACTTGGATACTTGATACCAAGAACACATTTTGGTCCAGATTCAAGACATACTGAGGTTTGGTGCCCAACCCTACGGTCTAGAGAAGCAGAATTAGTGATGAGGTTGCTCCTTTTGTAGCCACAAGACTCCACAGACTCACCTTTGGTGGTCTCACTCTCTCGCACCAGGAAAGTCCCCCTCCTGTTCTCTAAACTTAGCAGCAGCCTCTCCGAGTCGCGGCGAGTGATTTTGCCAAAGTACCACCTGGTGAGGTTGAGATAAAAAAAAACAAAAAAAAACATGGGACACAGAGGGAGCAGGTTGGTGAGGGGGAGAAGATGCATGTGGGTGGAGGAGAAGGAATGATAGAGCGAGGGTGAGTTGTTGCTCATGGTTTCAGAAAGAGCAGTGAAACTGTCTTTGCATTCCAGATGCGGTGCATACTAATGCCTACAGTGCAACAGCTGCTTACCTGGACTCTAGAGTCAGTCTGAGATGACTGGAGGGGCAGGAGGAAAAGTGAGAAATCAAGTTGTTATAAAAGTATAAAAGAAGTTTGTGTGGCTTGATTGTATAAGCAGGCAAGTTAGCACGTAAAGATCAGCAGTGTACGTCCCCAGGAGAAGATAACAGTACACGTACCACAGTCATTTAAAGGAGCATGTCCACATTTTGGTAAATGTGCTTATTTGCTTTCTTGCTGAGACGCTGATGTGAAGATTGATACCACTCTCATGTTTGTACGATCATTGTCACGCTACAGCCTGAAGTCAGTTCGCTTAGCTTAGCATAAAGACTGGCAACAGAGGGAAACAGCTAGCATGGCTCTGTCAAAAAAAAAATTGACCAACTAGTGGATTATGAGCGGGACTATTTCTTGGTCAAGTGCAGTGACTTCCTGGAGTGTTGTCATCATCGTTAGGTTGCCAAGCAACCAGCTGGAACTCCAGGAATTCACTGTGCCCGGCCAAGAAATAGGCTTTTTTTTGTTTGACTGTTCACTTTATCTTTTTAAAATGTGGCCATATCAGATTCCAGTGTGATCTGGTCATGATTCTGTTCTGTCCCGCATGCACAAAAGAACAACAACAAAGATATCACATGTAGCAACCCATCGTATGGGAGTCAGCCACTGAAGTCAGCGTTTACAGTTTATTTATAAGATGATGTGCAGTGGAAGCCAGCGAATTCTTGAGCAGGTGATAACGAGGACGAGGATCAAGAGAAAAAGAGAGACAAATCTTTAATTGGGCTTTTTGTGGAGCAACAGCTGCTGCCTCTGTACGGAGGTGTGCACAGAGCCAGGAGCAGCAGAATCGTGACGTAAATGGCTTTACTGAAACAGATTCCATCCAACATTTCAGGATGTCAAGGGCAGCTTTTAACATCTGTCAGCACCTCTCCACAAGGCTCTTACCGCGAGACACTTAGTTCAGGCGAGTGATGTTTAAGTTGCATGAATTCCAATATGATGGTTAAAACTGGAGGAAACCAGGTGAGCCCTCTTTAAAGGAATGGTTCACAGAGTTGCATCATATGAACAAAGCTCTGTCAGTTCTAAGGACAGGGCGGAGAAATCTGTGGAAAAGTTGAGAAGCTGTTTGAAGTACATTGCTGGTGTATCTGTATCTTAAAGTGAATCATATGCCATGTGCTAAAAATCAGAGGTGGGTCATTTTGCCTGCAGTCTGAACGTTTACTGAGCATTATAGGTTTAGATAGGTAGATTTCATTACATTACAGAGGCCAGGGTGGCTGTTTCCCCCTATTTCCAATCTCTATGCTAAGCTGAGCTAAACAGCTGCTGACTGTACCTTCATATTCAAAAGACAGACATGAAAGTGGCATCAATCGTCTCAGCTCTCGACAAGAAAGCAAATAAGAGTTGCACTATCCCTCTGAGTGCTCATTTAAAACTCACATTGAGATAAAAAGCAAGAAATTCTGGAGAATCAAACATTTGAGTGTTAATTCGTTCAAGTCCTTGATGACAGATAGACAAGAGACAGAGCAAGAAAAAAACAAGGTTTACTCTTCTGCCTGGATGGAGTCAGATGGAGCCACATAATTGCTGGGGATATAACCGCTCTCTCCAGTGGTCAGGGAGCGTGCCAGCCACCAGTCGCCTTCCCTGCACAGATGAAACGATAACACACAGCTTCACTGAGGCTCATCATCACACATCCAAAACACAAATAAAACAGTCTCTCTGACTGGAAGGGCTGGTGTTTATCAAGTGTCTCTGAATATAAATAAATGGCTGCTGATTATTTTTGCATTTTCTGTAGCCACTCAACAAAATGTAGTCTCCACAGTAACTGAGCTGTTGGCTCCTGGAGAAGCTCGATAAACACAAGCCCAGGTATCTCTACTGTTAAAAAGTATATATTTGGAGGTTATGTAATTATAAACAAACATGCATTCATGTGGGTATGACAACAGGGAGGGGTGGGGCGTGTATGCTACATATAAACAGGGGGTGGGAAGCTTTGCAGTACTATGTTCAATCAGAGAATCAAAAGTAAAATTACAGTTTGATTCAAGGCCACAGTCATGGAGTCAACACTGGGGGGACCAAATCTGCAGGGAGGGTGTGTGGATCAGAAAAAAATGTATAACATCCATTGATAGTGGTCTCTACACCAATATAACGTGATAAAGACATTAACGTAAATTGAAAACGCCTGTAAGTTGTATTCTGCTTTGGTACGGCAACACCATTTGGACAAACCACACGCAGATCTGCAGATCTGATTTTACATTTTATAAAGTCTGTGTTTTCCAACACTTTCCTCGCAGAGGGGCTGCCAACTACGACGGCCAATGCAAAAACCAAAATGCCAGTGTTTGGTTTGTCCATTCTGGGCTACTGTAGAAACATGGTACCCTGGAAATCCAAAGTTCTCGCGAGAGCACAATTTGAATTTGCTCAGCTAGTCACTCTGGCAATCAGTAATGATGCTCATTATCCATGCCTTTGTATCCTAGCTGCACCATTCACATCTGTGTATCTGATATAGGCGGGCCAGAGGTGAGCTAAACAGATGACGACAGCGCTGTGACGACGAAGTCCGGAATCAGTCAGTAAGCATTGCAAGATGGCTACAGATGAACACAAGTTGTTTGAAACAATGCTGTTTGCTACAATGAACGAGTTAGACTTGGCTTTTTCTCTAAAAGAGGAACAGAAGACGGTGCTCGAGTCTTTCCTTTGCAAGAAGGACGTTTTTGCTGTTTTGCCGACCGGATACAGCAAGAGTCTAATCTACCAGTTAGCTCCACTGGTAGCTAAGCTCTGGATACGTCACCCCGTGTATTGTTCTGATTGGTCGTAGTGTTATCCAGTTGCGCGCAGTGATATTTTCAAATGCATGCTTGGTGCCGCCCCTCGAGTTGGGCCATTTGCATTACTCAAAGCCAGACACTAAATCTTTCTAGATTTGGGTCTGGATTTCCAGGCTGGAAACATGGCGGTGCAACATGGGGATCTCTGTAGACAAGGACCTGCTCCCCACGTAGACATAAACGGCTCATTCTAATGTAAGGAAAATATAACGATTCTCATTTACAGGTTATTCTACACTAAAGAAAACATACTTATTACATTATATTCCATTTCTGCCAACATATCCCCCTAAATCCTACACACTGAACTTCATTTATGATTATGATTACATCTATTAATAATTATTTCAGATGGTGTTGCATGGTTGCCTGTTGTGGTATAGAAAAAAAGATTTTATTTATATTTTTTAAAGATTATATTTTGGGCCTTTCCCCCAATACCTTGGCGTCTTGTCTGTCTGAGAATCAACTTCAAAATACTGCTGTTGGTTTACAAAGCACTGAATGGTTTAGGGGCCAAATACATTTCTGACCTTCTGCTACACTATGAACCATCCTGACCTCTCAGGTATTCTGGTTCAGGCCTGCTTTGGTTCTCCAGAGTCAAGACTAAACGTGGAGAAGCAGCGTTAATTTTTATGCACCACATATCTGGAACAAACTCCCAGGAACTCTCACTTCTTTTAAATCAAGGTTTAAGACTTATCTTTTTGCCGCTGCCTTTTATTAAATCAAATATTTAGTCATTTCTTACACTGCACTGTAATTTTTATCATTCAAACACTTTCATTAACAGCACTGTAACTTTAAGTCTCGTATTTTAAACTGTCCTTAGTGTATTTTAAGTTTTCAGTTTCTATTCTCCAGTTCTTTAATGAATTGCTTTTAAATGTTCTTCTATATTGTGTTTCTTTTGCACCTCGTCTTGATGCTTTATGCAGAGCACTTTGAATTGCTTTGCTGCTGAAGTGTGCTATAGAAATAAACTTGCTTTTAGTGATAGAATAGCTTATGATAAACAGGAAAAGTGGGAGAGAAAGGGGTAATACATGCAGCAGAGGCCACAGGTTGGATTGACCCGGGCCTCAGCTTTTATGGGGCGCATACTCTGCCAGATGAGCCAGAGGTCGCCCCTGCATATTTGAATATATATCATAATTACTGCTGTGGTTATTTTACAGTAGTTACTTCCAGATGACCTGTATTGATCATAGAGCTGCAAGGCTTCGCACCAACTACTGTACCGAGGGTTCATGGGGCAGAGTTATGTGGTTTGCGCCTTTCTAGTGAAGTGGTATTACAGTGCATAAGTACTATATATGCCTCAGGTGATACAAACACACACGCACACAAACAGCACATTGAAAACGCCAGAGAAGCTTCACAAACCTGCAGTTCACCTTCCTCCTGTAAAAAAACGTGATGGTTTGTGATGGAAAAGGAGAGAGATGAAAGGGAAATGGTGGAAAAGAAAGGGGTTAAAGAAATACAGAGAGCACGTTATGAGCAGTGGAAGAACAGCAGAGTACACAGAACAGACTGATAATATAGTGCATACAGCTATGAGTCTAAAATATTTAAACCGTTACATAACTTGCAGACGAGGGAGGCACGATGATGAGGCGAAAGGGTGAAAAACATGCACAGTTTTATCATAACAGAAGCTCATCAGGTCGCTGTGCACGGCTGCATCGTTTAATCAGAAAGCTAAGACTAGTCTGACTGACACCTAATTTGAGTGTGCTAACCCGCAGACTAATCTTAGAGATGGTTAATGGATCCTGGGTGTACTTGACCCAATAATGATCCAGGTCTTTGGCTTAAGGGGCCAGATGCAGCGCTAATCCACTATTGTCCTCAGCTCCTGCCTTCTAGGTCAGCAGTTTGTTAGCGGGGGTGCAGCACTACAATATATGGTTCACTGCACCTCTATTGATTCATAGAACAAGCCCTGCTTTTAAAAACAAGCATGACTCCCCTTAAACAGGTTAGGATGGTGTGGGGTATCTGGGTCTCGCACTGCGTCTGCTTCTCAGGAAAAGGCAATAAAAATAGCCGTGTCCTTTCTGAGGTGTGCTGAGCTGCGGAGTGTAATCAGTCTTTTGTGAATGAGGCAAAAATTGTGCAGTTGACACAAAAGTCAAGCTCTGCTGAGGAAAGCCCGTTCCTATGGTTACAGGAGGTTTCAGAGAGACGACAGGCGACATGCATTTCGGGGTGCAAAGCAGCCAGTCAGACAACTGAGCAATAACTCAGACAGACAATCTGTGGACGTGTCTAAGTGCAGTTATTCATCGTTCACACACAGTATGAAGAGAGTGTTGGTGGACTGGTTTTGTTTACTTGTGTGTGCACTGATAAAAAACAAAGGCCATGTGATTTCTCTGTTTTCCTTACGTGTTGTTGACTATCTGGAGGCGTTCACCCTTCCTGAAGGAGAGGTCTGAGGCTGTTCTGGACTCGTAATCATACAACGCCACGAAGGTTGTCACACCTCCTGTCAGGAGAGAAAGTTTGGCTGTTACCAAAGACATATTGGACATACTGGGGGCATACAGTTAAAACAAACCATTGAATCTAAAAATTAGAGCTTAGAGCTGAGGTTCTAACTTTAACTGACATCTTCTGGTCAGTTGGTTGATTGGTTGGTCGATACGTTCTTGTCCAAACCAAATGCTCATTGGTCGGACAATTGCTGGTGTTACATTCACAGGGTGTCTACAGATATAACAGGTTAAATTTAAGACTTTTTGAGATCCTTTTAATACCAAACCTGCAATGGTAATACACATTATATGTGTGTGAGTGTGTGTGTGTGTGTGTGTGTGTGTGTGTGTGAGTGTGACAGACATGTTAAATGAACAGTAAAGGAAAATGGCAACAATTCTCAAGTGTGAGTTTAAGTTTAATGTGTTTAATGTAAAAAAACAAATTGTCATCGCTGTCATAAATGGTATTTATTACTGCAATTCTTTTGTCTGTCCAATGATTGTAAACGGTCGTTGGGTCGGTCAGGCTGGAGGAATTTTTGCGGTAATGTGACTGAGAATATTCAAGACCCATCGAATCTGAATTTAAGACAATTTAAGACTTTTTAAGGACCTGTAGACACCCTGCATTCATGAGGCTGTGTGTCCACCAAGGCGTTTTTTTTTCTCTGCTAAAAAACACAACTTCTTGTTGTTGACGTTTGGTCTTTGTGGTATTTGTTTCGCCCCTTCTCCTCAGTGATTGAATGGCTGGGTAAAAAGTGATAATGATGAGCACAGTGCTTTACCCAAAGGTAAACGTGTTTCCACTCTAATTTTTCAATTGCAGAAATGGAAAGATAATCACAGAAGACATTTAGCGCTGGATTTATCATTATGGATTTATTCTGCAACGTCTCGCAAAACAAGGGAAGTCTCTCAAATGCAGCGTTCTCAAGATATTTAAAGCTTTTTTTAAAAGAGGGGTTGCATGGAGTGCTTATCCATAGATAGTATATTACATACAATAGTTGTCAGCTGGCACATCCCCAGTTTGGAGAAGCATGCTGGAGTCTGACATGGAAGCTAAGCAATGTACTGCTGTGGAGGGGTCAGCAACAAAACACATATAAGCCACCTAAAAAACAGTCCCACTGACAATAAATTTTAATTTAATTATCAGTGTTAGTATACTCTATATCAAAGGAATTTTCACTGCTTCAGTGACAGTGATGTCCAACTGGAAAAATTAGCCATTATATTGCTTTCTTCAAAGCCAGACTCCATTGAGAAAACCAGTGATTTAACACTGCCGAACACAGGAGCTGCTGGTGTACCACTGTCTCTAACAGTTATTTTGCTTGTGTTGTTTAAAGAAGGGTTAGTTTGGATTCACCAAAGTCACACAATAACACAAACTGACTGATGAGGCAGCAGTAGACAAGCAGCTCCTGTGCTGAAATTACTGTTTTTGTCAATGGAGTCTGGTGGCTTTGACGACAGCACAGATGGGGAACTGAAGCTGTTAATGGCTGTCTGACAGAAAGGTAAAGCAGTGAAAATACTCTCAGTGTAGCGTACCCTTGAACTCATACTAATTATTTTTCGGTGGGACTTTGTTTAGGTGGCTTAATTTATGTTTTGTTGCTGACCCCCATCCACAGCAGTGCTCCAGCCTGCCTCTCCAAACTGTGGGCGTGCCGACGGACATCTACTGTTTGTAATACACTGACTATGGATAAGTAAGTTGGGTTTTCTCATCGGTCCTGTTCAGTGCTTGGTGGTAAGACAGACTCACGCAGGAAGCCCAGCTGGAAAAGCTCCACTTCAGTGCTACAGTATGCAGTTTATTTTCAGGTAATATTACTTTAGACATCACATTTTTTCACCTGCCCAATCGGACAACTGCATGAGGCATTCACTTGCCCAAACACAGAGTATGTTAGTGTTAACATAAAAAAGCTTTGGTGGTCACACAACGCTACCAGGTAAAGTGTACTCAGTGCTCTGTGGCCAGTTAAGTTAATCCAGTCAGATCTTTTCCCCCTTTGACCAGTTGAAGAGAGGGTAGAGTTTCAGACCACAATTCCCTGTGGTTGATTACAGCCCTTATTCTCACCTGCTAGTGTGATTCTGTTGGGAGAGGTGACGCTGTTATTGTCCACGCCTCCAAACAGGGCCAGCTCTGCATTATTGGTCATAGACTGATTACCACCCAGTCCTCCATCCATAGTAGGGCTACGACTGGGTGTTAAGGACTGTTGATTGGAGCTGTGGTGGTGGCCGCCAGCCCCTCCACCAGAGCCGAGGTTGCCATCGAGGCTGCGGGTTCGCTGACCGACATCCTTGGGCTTACTCTTGGATCCCCCCATGGCCAAGGCCTGTGATGCATTCAAGGACAGAGAGAGAGAGAGAGAAAAAAAGAAACTTAACTGAAGTTGCATTTCAAGGCACTGTAAATAATTTTGCATCAAACAGACTTTCTAACGTCACTTTCGCAGCACACATTCTTTGGAAAAATACCTCTGACTACCACAACACCAGATGCAGAAACCAGAGACGGAATGGAGAGCACGGCTCTAAACCCACTGAGACGCAGTGTCATGTAGACCACATGAACCACAGCTTCCCAACGGATGGTGGAGCAGCTGCCACTCCTCGCTTTCAACACATGAGATCCACTTCACCCCGCTGCCACCAGCCGAGCACATACACACACACACACACAGCAGACATGTCGCACATGCCTGCATGCACATGTGTCAGACACAGATGCACATATGAAGACATCAGCATTTTGTGGTGTCATGGTCCGAAGCTTTATTCAAACTGATCATTTAAAGATGAGTCAGTTTGTTTTTTTAGTAATGCCACATCACTTTAGTCATTACAGGGAAACTAAAGGGTACGTGAAGTCCTGGGTTCTTCCTCTTTGTAGCAGCGCTGAATGAATCAATTATTCAACAGAAGATTGATCACCAATAACTGTGATAAACAATTAATAATGTATGTAATTTGCAGTCGCAGTAGCAGTTCACAAGGCTGTGCTTCAGCACTGTGTTGCCAACACCAGAATGCTAACATGCTCACATGATGATATTAACATGCTGGTGTTTAGCAGGTGTAATGTTAAACATATTTAACATCATAGTTTAGCATGTTAGCATGCTTACATTTGCTAATTAGCACTAAAGCACAAAGTACAGCTGAGGCCGATGTGAATGTTGCTAGCTTTCAGGTAACTGGTCATAAACATAAAGTATTGGGCATATTTTCATTTTAAATTTTTTCTTTACATATTTTTTTAGACGAAAAGTGAGGGGATCATCAAAGTAATTGGTGGTGATGAACCAACAGATCAACCAATATTGCCATCACTAAAGCCACGACTAGGGCTGCAATGAATAATCCATTAATTGATTGGTTGTCAACTATTAAATTAATATCATACATATTTGATAATGATAAATCATGTTTAGTATATTTTTTTTAACAGTTTTAAACCACTGAAATTGAAAATCTTTGGATTTTTAGACTGTTGGTTGGACATTAAAGTTAAATTGGGGACATTGTTAGGCTCTGACAAACATTTGCACATTTACACATTCAGCTGGCACAAAACAACGTCATGATTCATTTGGAGACATGTCTCTGGCTACCTGACAAACATAAGTCCGATATCATATTTGGCGTTAACCAACTCCCACGAAAGATATGGTACCCATTCACACACACATTCGCACACCTTGCATACCATACATGGCACCACCTGCTACTCAGTAACCATTCACACACTCTCACACACCGATGAAACAGCCATCAGGAGCAATTTTGGGTTCAGTATCTTGCCCAGGGATACTTCAACATGCGGACTGGAGGAGCCAAGGATTGAACTCACGCTCTTGCGATTAGAAGACAACTCGCTCTACCTCTACCGCTGCTAAATCCTTCACTATGTTCATGTGCAAGTTAAGCTGAGTCAGTGTGCCACATTACACATAGCTCAAGTGATTTAAAACCATTGATTAGTGCAGCTTTAATGGTAAAAATAATCAACAGATTAATTGCTAATGAATCATTAGCTGCAACTATAGTGATCCATTGATGGGCTCCGAGGTGATTACAACACTTAACAGCACATTACCTCAAAATAGCTTTTGTGTTTTAATGTTGCTGAGAGTTAAACAGCAGCAGTGAAGTGGTCACAGATAGATACGACCAGTGTGGGCATCAGTGAGTCATCAGATCACTGTGCTGCAGTCAGTTTTCAGCAAAGAATAAAATTTGAGATACTCAACCAAAACCTAATGAGAACAGACCAAAGGTCAAGAGGGCAGTTTTGGATTGGATTTGGACTCTGCGTCTCTTCATTACTGAAGCTTCCCCGCCTACTCAGGCTCATGAAGTGGCTCTAATAACAGCTTAGTGCCGGGGAAATCATTACACTAAGCCAAGGATAATTTAGAGACTCAAGCCCGTGCTATCATGGATAGATATAGCTGCAGGGGTCCACTAGGAAATGCTAATTTACAGAAAACACTAAGGTGGGGTGGCTCGGGAGCCCCTCTGATAAGCAGAGGAGGGTCGGGGTGCATATGGGAAGTGTCAGGCTGCTCAGCCTTCTGCTGACATCCTCTGCCTGGCTGTTGCCATTTAGGAGGCCATGCATCTGTTGGATCTGACATCGGAGTCAGCCAATGCATGAGCCCACTGTCATTCACAGGCAAACAGTCTAATCCTGAACAAGAGACAAGCTACGGCAAACTAGCGGGCATGCTTGCAGTCAGAGGGATGCAGAGACATATGGTGGAAATGCACGGTACAAAGAGGAGCACAGTTTGCTAACCACGCCAGGGATATTAGTGAAGCTGTCACTGGTTCTTGTCGGTCATTCTGGATGCTGGGAGAGAGCCACCACAGGAGACAAGGGCTCTCAGTCAGTTTAAGAGCCGCAGTGATGCAGCTCAGAAATAAATATTAAAACAGACAGAAAGCAGCAGCCGGAGAGATGACAGAGCGGAGCGAGGGAGGGAAGGGAACATAACGGGGGGGGGGGTCATTTTGGGTTGGCATCATGAATGGGTGAGATGGGGGAGGAGGGCGAGGAAGTGGAGAGGGGTCAATGGGGCCGGACAGTCGATACCACCCCCGCCCCCCGGGGCATGTCTGCGTAAAGGGGGTCGCATCCCAGCAAGTGTAACATACATAGCGTGCAGGTTGACACACACAGACACAAGAGAGCAGACACAAAGGTGACGGGTGGCTCGGGAGCTGCTCTTTGTGTGATCTGTGTCGTCCCCGAGCAGACTGGGTGAATAGTTAATAAGCAAATCGGAGGCAGAGCACAGCGGGGACGCCGCCTCTCTCATCTCCAGTCGTCGGATGTGTAAAAGCTTTCCCCGTTTCACAGAAATGATGCTTTCACTTAAAGGGACAGTTCACAGTTGTATTAAAAAGTACACATTTTTCCTCGAAGTGCAATTGTTTTGGTGTGAGCTGTCATGTGCTGGAGACATTGGCCGTAGAGATGTCTGCCTTCTCTCCAACACAATGGAACTAGATGGCACTCAGCTTGTGGTGCTCAAAGCATCAAAACAATACATTTGAAAAAACTGGTAATTCAAGATAATCCACACATCTGGTTGTGAGGAGTTTCATGTAGGAACTACACCCACCAACTACATCACTGCGCAGAAGGAAGTGTGCTATTAACTTGGGCAGTACCGAGATATTACAGTATCCATACCATCAAAAATAGAGACGTTCCTCTTTTTTTTATTAAACTGTTACTGAGATGCTGTAATGGGGCTTTGTTTTGTAGTGCACAACATGCACCACCAGAGGTCAGTCTAGCCTGGTAGAACAGGCTGCTGAGCTGAGAAAGATGGAAACCGTGAGTAGTGGGGATACCGTTACAGGACTAGTAAAAAGAGAGAGCTAGGGAAAACAGCCACAGAGCCAGCATACTTTCGACCGAACAGAGTTGGTGACTCTTGGGACAATGGAAAGAAAGAAGGGATGAAGAGGTGTAACCTAGCACGTTCTATTCATGGACAATAGGCTCGTGCTCGTGACAGCATGAGGTCTGCACATTAATGACATTCTCCTGGCCTGAGCTGCAATGTTAGCTATCTCAGTTGTGCTAGGCAGGAATGGATTGATAAAGAGGCCTACCAGGCACAGGACCAGGGGCCCAAAGTGTCAGGGCACCACCTGGCCTTCATTTGCAAAATGTCATTCGTACATGCTGTCCAGGAAGAGAAAATGACCACAAAGACACCCAAAAAGAATAGAAAGAGATGCAATGGAATGACAAAGAGGCACACTACAAAAATTAGAAATAAACAACTACAGAGAGACATGAAATTACCTCAAAGTGAACTACGAAAGGCCCAAAAAACACAGGAGACACAAAAGGACTACAGAAACACAAAATGACCAAAAAAGACAAAAACATTACTTCATAGAGAAACAAAAGACTACAAAATGAAAAAAAAAACAACTGCAAAGAGACTGAAATGACTACAAAAGGACACAAAACAACTAGGAGACACAAAAGGACTACAGAGACACAAAATGACCATAAGAGACAAGAAATCACTTCAACGAGAAACACAACAACCATAAAGAGACAAACAACTACGAAGAGGCCGAAATGACTACAACAAGACACAAATCAACCACAAGGAGACACAAAATGACCAAAAAAGAAAAAAAAAATTACCTCAAAGAGGCGAAAAACAATGAAAAGATACATGACAAGATGTAAAACCACCACAAAGTCCATGTGGCTTGCTCCTATGTAGAGGAGGTGGTGGGGCCCTTTGCATATCTGCGCCCAGGGGCCCACTGTCTCATAATCCACCCATGGTGCTAGGTTAGCTAACACTAGGTGCATGCTTCCTTCTACGCTGTGACACCGCTGGCAGGTTTCCGGAAAGAGACATTGCTGCTGAGTTTTCCAATTGTATTTTTTGTCGCTTTAAGCACCACAATGAGTGCCATCTAGTTCCATTATTACGAACAGAAGGCAGACATCTCTAGGGCCGATATCTCCAACATTCAGCGATTCAATAGAGACACCTAAACAATAGAGTTTGATAAATAGCACTACAGTTAAAAGGGAAAATGTGCATGTTAAGGGATGTCGCCTTAATGAGATAATTCAAAAGGTGCTTAAACATTATGTGAACAGACCACTGCTAAATAATACTCGTGACTTGTGCTGAATATGCTTGCAGGACAGCAGCTGTGCATGTAACATGACATCTGACGTGGTAAACAAGTGAAAAAGACCCTTTTTAGCCACTCAAACATTTCAAGGTTGAATAGAATTTGGTTCATTTGGCCAACAGCGTCCTAATACTGTGACCCAGACTGC